AAGGAATATTTGTTTGTAGCTTCCTATTTGTATTATTTAGGAATGTGTCTAATAAGGAGAACATAACCTAAAATTACCATCTCCTTATAATCAATGCTTTTATACATAATTAAACCTTTAAAACTTTATTATAAAATATTATCTTGAACTTACATGTTCAAAAGCATCTTTAAAACAAGGTAAGAAAATACTAAATAAAATAAGTAAAACATTAAAAGTAAAAACATCATATCCTAACTTAAGATTAAGAAAATAAAATACCACTATCCTATACACGTGTCATGGTCTCTACTTGCTCTGCCGTTATTAGCCGTACAGGGATGTCTTACCTTTACATGAAATAGAAAGAGCACACAACTTGAGTATTTTAAGAAATACTCAGTACGTGACTTGTTATTGAGGTCATGGAATGCAAACACATGTAACTCATGTTCTAGGAACCTATCGTTAAAACCATCATAGTGGTGGTCTCCATTCCAAACAAAATTGGACATGTAGTACTTTCCTACACATGACCCACACGTGAGAATGTGGGTCCCCAGGCGGTCCGCACCCCTTGGACCCATTATACTTTGGCTAGTTGTCTATAGCGACGTTCGAAGGTCAGCAGACCCGTAAGTGTCATATGAGGCATGACCATCATCATCATAGTGTATGCATCCGTACTCATCATCATAAATGGAGAAGTATCCGATGTATATGAACACACAAAATGCATGAGATCTCTGTAGTTTTCATCTTTATGACACAACCTATACACCGTTCATATATTTAACATGCACACATTGGCCTTCATACATTCATCATGATTATCATTAACTAGGGTTATGTCTTTGAAAACTCGTTGTCATAATGTATCGTGGCATTTAATACATGCACGTCATATTAATATGGAACATCATTATATTAAGTCATTTCATCATCATAGGTCTCTCATCGTCTTTTTATTATGCATCATCATCATCATCATGTCAACAACATGCACATCATCTCATCATCACATAGCATCGTCACCTCATTATGTAATGTTATCATATAACATCATCACATCATTATCTAACGTCATCATATCATTATTTAACGACATCACGTCATCATATAACGTCATCGTATCATTATTTAACGTCATCACGTCATCACATCATCATATAACATCATCACATCATCATATAACATTATCAAATTATCATATAACATTATCACATCATCATACAACATAAAACATAAATTACTCGTGCAAGAGCCACTGGGCACGTTTCGTCATACACAAGACAAGTTTTTCGATTGAGTCGATACTAAGGTCACTTACTTCGTTAACTTAGGTCGAAGCTACTGCGACTCTTTAATACTAGCTTAACGTTGTTCTCGGAAATTTAATTCTATCGAGAGAGTTCAACAAATCATGAATTAAATTCTACTATAGAAATTAGCTCACCTAATTTATATATAAATAATTTAAACTTACTCCTAATAATTCAAATTAGTAAAGCAGCCCACCTAATTTTGCATAAAATAATTTAAACTTGCTCATAATAATTTAAACCAGTTAACTTTAATTATGAATAAATACTTTAAATTTCACTAAAAAAAATTTAAACTAGCTAAAAAGTAGTCTTATTAATCTTTAACACTTCCGAAAAATTGAAACTAAGCGAAAAGAGTCTTAGCATACCGGGCAATGTGGGACAATTTACTTTTTTTTTTTTTTTTTTTAATCTTTGGATTTTACACAAACTACCGAGGTTGAGTTGGGTTAGATTCTTTTAGTTTGGGTTAGGGTTGAGTTTTTAGAAAATAAAAAATTTATGGCGATTTATGAGTTGACAGTTCTTTTTTTGTCCGATCAACCCAATCAACTTTAAAATAGAATTACAAGTTAACCTAACCATACTCTGCTTACCATACTTTTGATACTATTACAAAAATTAAAAATATTTAATATTTGTAACCAATATTAGTAATACCCGGGAAATGTTTTAATATTTGAATTTTACGAGATTTTAATTATTAATATAGTATGTATTTTAGATAATTATGTTTTTTTTAAATATTAAAAAAAACAACCGACAACCAACTTAATCCAACACTCTATTTTCGTGTTTATCCAAAAAAAAAAAAATCAATATTAGAATGAACCGATAGAATATTGCCATTTGGAGAGGTGTTTGGGTCTTACAATCAACCTTGTTTTTTTTGTCAAATATTCCTATGCTTGCTTAATTTTCAAAGTTTATTTTTTTAATAGAAAAAATACTCCTTTTTCTATTAAATCTAAAATAGAATAAAAACAAAATAAGATATATAAATCAAGAATTACGTGAAATTTAATCTTTTATTAGATAATTATTACAACTAATGTTTTACCAAAGTACGGACTTTTAAAAAACTTTTTAATTTGAAAATAGTTGTTACTTTTATTTAAATAAAAAACATGTTTAAAAATAATTGAATTCATTAATAAAAGCATATGCTTCAGAATTATTTCTTAATTTCTACCATATTATTCTTTTTAAAATGTTCATAACATCACGATGGAATATGAAGATATTATTTTTTTCCAAAAATAAAATAAATATATTATTGTACCTTTTTTAAAAAAGAGAACATTTTATTTTATTTAATCTAATTATATAAGATTATAAGCTTTAGTTTCTATTACTTTGTTTTTTCTTAAATTGATTTTGAAATTTAGTTTACAAATTTTATAAATTGAATGATATGAACCCGAGACATCAATCATACCATATACTTCAATGAAAATGTGAAGAAAATACTGTTGAAATTATCAAAAGATATTTCAATTCAGACTTATAAATTTTGGGTAGATTACAATTTAGAGTAATTTAGAGTTATTGTATTTCATTAATATATTTTAAGACTTTTTATTTACATTAGGTTACAATTACATCCCAGTTAATTATGTGTTATAACGCATTTAATAATTTCATTTTGAGGCTACAAATAAAGTGAAGAAGCATTTGTGCTTTCTTTAGCCAATAGCTAAGTTTATTTGCAATTCTACCTAGTTTAGGTTGCATACAGAATCACTCAATCTTGCTGTAAAGTGTTTCGAATCTCAAACAAGTGTTTTTGTGTTAAGATATTTGATCAACAAGAATCATTCAAGCTAAACATGATCGATTTTGCTTGTAGAGTGATTCGAATCTCAAACAGTGTTCTTGCTTTGAGATATTCAATCAACATGGTAATCCGAATCTTACTTCTCTTACAGTGATTCCTTATCTTATCATTTACCACGGCTTAGAATCTTAACCTCACTTTCAGAAAATAATATCTACCCGTTATTGTTATGGATTAAGTAAATTATAGGGTTTTTTTTTTTTAAATGGAAATTAATTTATGTTTGAGGGAATTTAGCATAATGCTGGGATTTTATATTTACCAAGAATAATCCCACATTTTCAACATGTCCAGCAACCCAGCAAGTTTGATGGGACATTTGAGCATGACGTGGCATTGTGGATAATGAAAATGATATCCATCCACTCCTCACATAACACGACCCTCCCCCTCCCTCACTTTAGCTCAACTTTGTCAAAAATATTAAAAAAAAATAACTAAATAACATTATCCCAAACTAACTCCAACGGCTTCCGCTTCTTTCAAATAAATAAATTTTTTATATGAACTGAGCTGATTTACGAGCGACTTAAAATTATATTGAGTTAAATTGAATCAAACTTGAATTTATTGTCATTTTCTTATTATTTACTTTCCAACCACTCTTACAAAGCCCATAGCTAATCGATATTATTCTCTTTGGGCTTTCCTTTTGGGCTTCTCGTCAAAGTTTTTAAAACGTGTCTGTTATGTAGAGATTTCCACACTCTTATAAAAAGTGTTTCATTCTCCTCCCAACCGATGTGGGATCTCACAACAAGTCTCGTTAATGTATTCCAACAATATAGAAGTTTTTCCACATCCCACAAGATCTTTTTTGTTATGACCCGACAAAGCTCGTGATCTTATGGGAGTCTCTTGAAAGAAGATTACAAATGAGGGAAGAAAAGTTTCAAGAAAATTCTCAAAAAGTGGAGAAGGAATACTTCTAGCTTAACCTAAGGGAGAATGTTTATTAATAATATAATTAAATATATTTGCCAATAATATATTTAAATATCTAATATATTATACTCATATTTGAATGTATTTCAATATATATTTAACTAAAAATTTAATTCAATGAATATACCTTAATTGTTTTAATATTTAAAATATATCTTCTCTTTTAATACATAATATATTAATTTCATTTTTTTTTCTTTCCAGAACGACCTTAATCACAATATACTTATTTAATATTTAATATATCAAATATAATAAATATATTTTCTCATTTAACCTATATAATATATTAAATAGTAACTTAAATTTCTCAAAAAAAATTTCCTCACTTATTAATTATAAATTACAATAATACAAAACTAATTAATTAATTTTTTGCTTTTAATTTAACCTTTATCAATTTAAGCATATTTTAGTTTAAAAAATCAGACAGATTTCTACTATAGTACCCACTCAATATCTAAAACCACAGTCTCGACTAATATCAATGTATCTCAAATGAGTTATTTAGAAATAGACAATGAAATTTAAAATTACTTCAAAACATACGTTTATCTTCGTTAGAGTTACGTCATTTAATTGTTTCAAACACTATTCGTATACTTTCGACCATGTTAAAGGCACGCGTATATATATATATATATATAAAAGAATTTATAATAATTCAAAATTTTAAAAATTTAGGAATATGGTAATAGAATAAATTCCAAAAATTCCCAAACTGTAAATAAAGTTTTAAATCTGCATTTTTTATCGGCGGAAGATAAGGCGGCTTGAATAAAAGGAAGAAAAGAAAAAAAAAAAAAAAAA